ATCTATCGGCGATGTATCGCCCCTTCCAGGCCCATGTTGCCTCCCCTGAGCTGGTCACCCCCTCACGTTCCCCCTCATCCGCTCCACAGCCGCTGTGCCGCTTCCCGCCCCTGCCCTGCCCTCCCTCCCCTCTTCTCTCCTCCTCCCCCTCCTCCTCCTCCTCCTCCTCCTTCATCCCTTTTCCCTCTGCATGAGTAACTCCTCCCTGTCGCACCCCGAGACGTGTTGGCAGGACGGGCTGGCCGTTTCGCTGGAGACTTCCTCAGCAACAGCACACACAGTAGCGCAGCACCCCCAGATGAGTTCGAAGTCGTCCTGTGCAGGGGGGGCCCGCCTGGCGACCAGACCAGACCGAGCAAGCGCGCCCTGATGAGGGGCCGTGGGAGGGCCAGAGAGGCTGAGCTGGAGGCGGTGGACGCGTTTTTGAACGAGATGCGCACCGCCGAGATCCGATGGAGCACACCACCGGCATGCCAGCAGACCTCGGGCGCCGAGTGCCAAGTCGGCATCCCCGGGATGGGCCTGTGGGCTTGCCCTCTCGCCCAGCGCTCGCGGACCGCGCCGCCAGGCCACTGACGTGCGGGCGTGGCTGTCCCTGCGGGGGGAGTCCAAAGCACCGCGCTTCCCAGGCAGGTGGGGCCACCTCGCGGGGTGCGACAAGGAGGACACCGCGCTTCCCAGGCAGGCGGGACCACGCTCGGCACTGGCCCAAGGTGGGTGCGAGAAGAGCGACACAGAAATCAGAGAACCGGGCTCCCCTCCCTTTTCCGCTCTTCCATGGTCGCCGCTGCCCGGCGAACTCCACCCACCCGGCGGAGGGGGGCGTGTCTCCCCGCGCGCGGCCAGGCCCAGGCCCGTGGGACGGGCTGGCGGGGGTGAGCGGGTGGGAACCAGAGAGAGGAGAGCAGCAGGATGAGGACGGAGAGTGCCTCAGGCGCTGCCAGAGGCCGCCAATGCCACTGGAACCCTCTCTGAGGTCCTCCCCCTTTTTTGGGGGGGGCTCCCTGGGGGGGTGTCGGCTGTGTTGGCTACCCTCCCCATCCTTACCTTTTCCCGCCCTCCTCCGTCGTGCCTGCTACTCCCCCTGGCCCCTCCTCCCCTCTCTCTCTTCTCCTCCTCCTCTCCCTCCCTTTCTCTCTTTTCCTCCTGTTGCTCCTCGTCGTGTCGCCCTTGCGTTGTTGTCCCTCTCCTCAGGGGATGCCCCCCGTTTTGGCTGTTGCGCGCCCTGCGTTTACAGCTCCCGCTCCCCCAGCGATGCGCTGTTGCTGGGGAGAGAGGCGGGCTCGAGGGCTTCAGTAATCGACAAGACAGTCCGCAGTCACGGGTCACGAGGAGGAGTAGGGGAGAAGAGGTCAGGCTAGAGTGGAAGGTGAAGGATGGGGATGAAGAGACGGTCCTCGGAGGCTGGGTGGGGTCTCTGGAGGTCGTCAGTTCTCGGAGGTCTCTGGAGGTTCCCAAAATGTTCCCAGAAGCCTCCAGAAGTCCCCAGAAGTCCCCAGAGGCTCCCGTAGGCCTCCGAAAGTCCCCAGTGGTTCAAAAGGCCCCACCTTCTCAAACCTTGATCCTGAGTCCTCCATCCATGAAAAGGGTAAAGCAGAGAAATCGCCTTCGCGAGCGGAGGTAGCCCGTTCATTACCTTCAGCGGCAACTTCTCGAAGCACGACGTACGCGTGACCGACGGCAACGGCCAGACTCTAGCTGAGGCGATCGTGTGCTGCTGCTGCTGCTCCTCCTGCTCCCCAGAGGCCTACACGGGACCAAAAGTATTTTAGAACCTCGATACGACGATAACGTCGCCTCTTCGCCGCTGCCGCCGCCTTTCAATCTGGTCGGACGAGAGTGGGATATGAAAACGGGGGTTACGAAATCTGCTGCATGCAGCGTGTTCCGGCCTCGCCCCAGGAGGCACCGGAAAACCCAGCTAGGTAAGCTGATGCGGGGGCGGGGCAGGACCACCGGCACAGCAGTTCTAGCGGCCGTTCTCGTAGCTGGTTTGGTCGTGTGATGATGCCAGTCAGTGCGTGGGGAATTCTTAGCGCTTCGCGTGCCCCCGCCATCCTGTGAAGGAACGAGGCCCATTAGTCCTTATCGTGGGAGCGCGGTATCTGGGAGCCTCCTTGGGCAAGAGGCTCTCGAGAGGAGCTCCTCTTCCATCCTAGCCTCTGAGCAATAGGGTGTGGCAGTTCCCCGACCCCCCCTGGACCCCCTGATTCGTTTCTTTCTTTATAGTTTTTTTTTTTTTATCCGTAAGGGCTTCGCCCCCTGCCGCCGGCCCCCTCTCTCGGAGAATGGGCCATGGAAGAGCTAAGTCATGAGGCTTTGGCGCTGTCGTGCAGCAGTATCAGAACTTCATGCGAGGCCGATTCGCAATCGGCAAACCAACTGATCACAAGAGGGGTTACCACACAGGGCGATTGGTAAGACGTGTATGGTTTACGAGCTTGGTTACCACACCTTGGGATTAAAGGGCCGAGGGAGTACTCGCAGTTTGGGTTACCACGCCTTGCGATGGATGTGCGTGAGGGGTGGCACCGAATTTCAGAAATGTGGCAAATCCCCTGTGTTTTTGGACCCTGACCCCGCGGATCTGCGTGAGGGGTGGCACCGAATTTCAGAAATGTGGCAAATCCCCTGTGTTTTTGGACCCTGACCCCGCGGATCTGCGTGAGGGGTGGCACCGAATTTCAGAAATGTGGCAAATCCCATTTGTTTTTGGACCCTGACCCCGCGGATCTGCGTGAGGGGTGGCACCGAATTTCAGAAATGTGGCAAATCCCATCTGTTTTTGGACCCTGACCCCGCGGATGTGCGTGAGGGGTGGCACCGAATTTCAGAAATGTGGCAAATCCCATTTGTTTTTGGACCCTGACCCCGCGGATCTGCGTGAGGGGTGTCGACTTCGAGCCCCCCCAGCAATTCAGACAACGCGCCCAGGGGGTGCTAAAAATCCCGTTTGGGCCTCTCCCCCCCTCGCGCGGTCAATCAAGTAGTTACAGTAACCAGCAAGAAGCAGAACTGTAACACTGGAAACTACAAGCTACAACTGGTACTGGAAACTGCGAACCCCTGCCTCGCAGCCTGGTGGCCACACAAGGGGGCCGGCGGATATTGTTTTTTATTTTACGCGTTTTGTTGTTAAACTTTCATTTCTGAGGAATAATTATTGTTGATCCCCCCCGTCCGGTGCACATTGTTTTTTTCGATTGAAGTGCCCTTCCCCGGGCTCGCACCCCGTTTGTTATCAGGGAAAGTCTTGAGCGTCAAACTGTGTCGTTGGCTGGTTACAACAACAACGGCTCCCGGCTGATACTTCCTCACAATTTAGCCAGGACCACCGCTCCCTCCCGAGACTTCCTCGTGTTTTATTCAGGAATCGCGCTCTCGCTTGGGACTTCCGTAGAATTTATTCTCCCGGCGCTCTGGAGTCGCGCTCTCGCTGGAGACTTGCTTGCAATTTACTGAAGAATAGTGCCCTTGCGTTGGAATTTCTTGCAATTTACTCAAGCGCCGCGCTCCCGACACCCAGGCACCCAGGAGTCGCGCTCACGCTTAGGACTCCCTGACAGATGACATAGGAATCGGGATCTCGCTGCCCTTCGTGGCCCCGTTGCAGCCCTTCGTGTGGCGCCGTCGCAGCCCTTCGTGGCCCCGTTGCAGCCCTTCGTGGCCCCCTCGCTGCCCTTCGTGGCCCCGTTGCATCCCTTCGTGGCCTCCTCGCTGCCCTTCGTGGCCCCGCAGTCCTTCGTGGCCCCCTCGCTTTGTTTCGTGGCCCCGTTGCAGCCCTTCGTGACCCCCTCGCTGCCCTTCGTGTGGCCCCGTCGCAGCCCTTCGTGGCCCCGTTGCAGCCCTTCGTGGCCCCCTCGCTGTCCTTCGTGGCCCCGTTGTATCCCTTCGTGGCCCCCTCGCTGCCCTTTGTGGCCCCATATATGTATGCCCTTCGTGGCCCCCGCTCGTTCGCGCCCGTGGAGGCCCCATATGCATCTGTCCTACGTGGCCCAGCTTCTACCCTCAATGGCCCCATCGTTGACTTCTGTGGCCCCGCATTATCTGCCCTTCGTGGCCCCCGCTCCTTCGCGCTCTTCGTGGCCCCATACGCATTCCCTTCGTGTCCCCGCTGTTGCCCTTCGTGGCCTACTTCGTGTCCTTGTGGCCCTGCTGTCGTTCCCTTTCGCTCTCGCTTTCGCTCGTCGTCGTCGTCGTCGTCGCCGTCGTCGTCGTCGTCGCCGTCGTCGTCGACATCGTCGTCGTCGTCGTCGTTGTCGGTCCCCTGTCCGCCCCTCTTGGGGTCGGGTCGACGGTCCGCGGCCGCCCCGCCGATCAGCGCTGTCGCTGGCCCCCCGCCGCTTGCCAGGGCCTGGCCTGCAGGGAAGAAAGGTAAACCCCCCAAAAGGTGTTCGATCGAATTCGAAGAGGGCGGGTATCGAGGGTTTGGGAAATAGGCGTTATTGAACACTCGAGCAGATAAGGGCGAGCAGTCTTGAAATGATTGTTGTTGATGTTGTTGTTGTTGTTGTTGTTGTTGTTGTTGTTGTTGCTGGTGTTATTGTTGTTGATGTTGTTGTTGTGGTTGTCGTTGTCATTGTCGTTGTCGTTGTCGTTGTTGTGGTTGTGGTTGTGGTTGTGGTTGTGGTTGTTGCTGTTGCTGTTGTGGTTATGGTTGTGGTTGCGGTTGTTGTTGTGGTTGTGGTTGTGGTTGTGGTTGTGGTTGTGGTTGTGGTTGTGGTTGTGGTTGTGGTTGTGGTTGTGGTTGTGGTAGTGGTTGTTGTTGTTGTTGTTGTTGTTGTTGTTGTTGTTGTTGTTGTTGTTGTTGTTGTTGTTGTTGTTGTGTATATATCATTATTGAAGAATGTAGTTGTTGATCCCCCCTCCTGTGACCATCGTGTCTTTTCAATCCAAGTGCTTTCCCCGGGGCTCGCACCCTTCTTTTATCAGGACAAGTCACAAGGGTCAAAGTGCGCCCCTGGCCTCCAGGTTACAGCAACAGCGGCTCCCGCCGGAGACTTCTTCACAATTTAGACAGGACCCCGCTCCCGCCTGAGATTAATATGTGGAGTCGCGCTCTCGTTGGAGACTTGCTTGCAACTTATTCAAGGATCGCAATCTTGCGTTGGAATTCCCCTCAATTTACTCAAGCGCCGCGCTCCCGACACTGAGGCACCCAGGAGTCGCGCTCACGGCTAGGATAGTTTACCGAGGGATCGGGAGGCCCAGTTGCAGCCCTTCGTGGGCCCCTCGCTGCCCTTCGTGGCCCCGTTGCTGCCCTTCGTGGCCCCTCGCTGCCGTTCGCGGCCCCGTTGCACCGCTTTGTGGCCCCCTTGCTGCTTTTCGTGGCCCTGTTGCAGCCTTTCGTGGCCCCCTCGCTGCCCTTCGTGGCTTTATATACGTATGCCCTTCGTGGCCCCCGCTCGTTTTCGCCCGCCGTGGCCCCATATGCATGCGCTTCGTGGCTGCGCTGTCGCCCTTCGTGGCCCCCTCGCTGCCCTTCGTGGCCCCGTGGCTGCCCTCAGTTGCCCCGTCCTTGCCCTCTGCGGCCCACCCCCGCTCGTTCGCGTCCGTCGTGGCCTCATATGCATGCCCTTCGTGGCCCCGCCCTTCGTGGCCTCCTCTCTGTCCCACGTGGCCCCGTTGCTACCCTCAGTGGCCCCGTCGTGCCCAAGTTCCCCCCCGGGGCAACCCCCGGAACAAAAAAACGCATTTGTTATTTTTCTGGCTTTGTTAGGTGGTTTCACTGGGGCTTCCAGGGATCGCCCAAACAAGTCTCCCGATGAGACTGCAGAGCGGTCGAAGTGTTTACGCGTGCGAGCACGCAGATCAGCACGGAGCACGAGCATGTTTGTTTTTTTCGGATTTGATGCGCGAGTATGAGTATGGATTGTGGTTGCGTATGAGCATGAACAGGCGTACGGATACGAGAGGGCAAGAGCATGATTGTGTACGAGTGCGACTGCGAGTATGACTACGCGAAGTGGCTGGGCATGTCGATGACTCGAGAATCCTTCATAGTGGCGGCTGCAGCAACAAACAGGGGAGTATGAACCGCCCAAGGTGAACCCTGGGAGCACCGATGGCACCTACGAGGTTGTAGTGTTCCCGAACGTGGACGCAGGACTGATCATCCTCGGACTGCTGGCAATTAATAAGACAGAACTGGTTGCTGCTAGCCGGCCACCATCTGCACGCTAGTTCACTCTCCAGCGGCGTTGTTTTGGACGCTGCTGGAGTATTTCTAATGTGAGGGCTCGATTCTGACCTCGTTCGCTCCCCCTTCTCTCCCTCCTCCCTACTCCTCCCCTTCATCAGCCCTCTCCTGCTCCCCCCTTACTCCTTCCTCGTCCTTCACCTCCTCCTCTTCCTCTCCCTCCTCCGCCTCCTCCTCCTGCTCCTTCTTTTTCTCCTCCGCTTCTCCCCTCTCTCTCTCCTGCTCCCCTCTCACGCTCCCCATCCTCCTGGTTTGGTGATGGGTGCGACAAGGGGTCTCCTGGACTCTCCCCCCGTCCCTGCGGAGGATGAGGTGTGGTGAAGGAGGGGAAGGGGAAGGGGAAGGGGGGAAAGAAGGGGTAAGGCGAGGGTGCAGAGGAGGAGGAGAAGGAGGAGGAGGAGGAGGAGGAGGAGAAGGAGGAGGAGGAGGAGGAGGAGGAGAGGGGGAGCGAACTATCGGTCGCGTTGCGGCAGCTGAAGACCAATCGAGCGCCATTCGCAAGCGGCGTCTCTGCAGAGATGTTGAAGGATGGTGGAGGCGCGCTCAAACCAGTCATGCTGGTCACTTTCAACAACGTACTGCGTTGTGACTCACCGACGCCTTCCACTTGGAAGCGCGCGGCCATCGAGGTATTGCGCGAGAGTGGTGACCCAGTGCGCCGGGGAAGTTATTGACCTATTGCATCTGCTCAGATGCTCGACAAACTCTTCTCCAATATGCTGCGCAAGCGCTTTTTGGTGCTGTGGGCCGCTGGCAAAGTCCTGGCCGCGCGGGCTTCAGAACCAGCCGGGCTGCAACCGACCATCTGTTTACGGCGGCGATTTTGATGGACTTCTGTGGCGAGTGGCTAGGGGTTGCAGCGACCGACTTCGATAAGGCGTTTGACGCGGCCACTCAGGTGGCTCTGAAAGACCAGCAAGCACCAATTCCACGTGTCACTCTGCCCCAGAAGCTGCGCGACCAACAGACAGCGTCGGTCGGGGCCGACCGGCTCAGCGAGGAGTTCAACGTCGAACGAGGCGCGAAACAGCGGGGCCCGCTGAGCTCGTTGCTCTCCAGCTGCGTGTCAGGGCAAATTCTGAGACGGGCGAAGCAGAAACCGACCGCGAAGCGGTGCGGTTTACAGCTACCACCAATATGCAGCGACTTGCTGAAGAGTCTACGCTTTGTCGACGACATCACCCTAATTGCGCGACCGACCAAGGACGTCGCCCGAAGGTTTTCCTACCGGAGCGCCGAGACTGCACGTGCCCGGCTGCGCTGGTGCCTTGTGCCGCAGAATGAAGGCCGAGGCAATCCCGCCATTCCGTTCGGCAAGATATTTGGAGCGCCAATCGCAGTTCAGCGACGGCCGCGAGACAGGGGTGGAACGCGTAATTAATTCCTTCGGCGTGGAGCTTGCGGGCAACCGCTATTCCATGCGCGACTCTTCCATGGGGCAACTGCACCTACAATTTTATTCGCGTGCGAAGTGTGGGCGGTGACAGAAAAGCTCGCAAATCGAGCACGCCGAATTCGATGACTTCTGCTTCGCATGATCGCTAAGACACCCAGAAGTAAGACGGCCGCCAGAGCACAGCAAGAGCAACGCCAAGCCGACGCTGCCACCAACAACACTACCGACGCTGGGAACGACAACGACCAAAGTGGCTTATCCACCTCCGACAAAGGGAAACATGTAGATAGCGCGCCACCTTCGCCAATTCCAGCGACAGAGCTTCTAGACGAGGAGGAAGGCCTTCTGGAACCTGAGTCTCAATGGATCAAACGTGCAACGCAACCGTGCCCAGACTGCAATTTCAAAAATGGGCATTGCCGACTGGAGTACAAATATCAAGCAACGTAAATCGGATTGCGTAGTCAGATCGCCACGAGTACGACGAAAGAGCGGGCACGAGCATTTTTTCACTGGGATCTCGAAGGGGATGCGCCGACACAGACACCACGACGGGTGGGGCGGCCGAAAACACGATGTCTTGACGATGTGTTACGACACACGCAGCAAATGGCTCAGGATCCGCCGAGGGCCCCGACTGATTTATTGATACTTGCAACAACAGAGGAATGCGGAACATAAAACATCAGACTTCTTTGAGCAGTGAGTGGGCAGTGAGTGGCGTATTCTTGTATAGTACGCGCATACAGCATATTGTGTACACATTCATTGTCTCTTCCGCTGCCCCTCGCTCCTCTCTTCCCTCTCCTCTTTCACCCTGTCATCCTTCCGCGGCGCCCCGGCGCCCCACTGCAGCGTCCCCGCGGCGCTTTGATGCATGCCGCATGTCCGCAGGACCGAATGTCCGCATGCCCGCATGTCCGTATGTCCTGCCGCTGCAGTGGCCGAGCTGCGTGAGCTCTCTTGGTGCCGCTGTCCGCCGCAGTTGCACCCTCCTTTTGTCCCAGAAGCAGATCTGAGTAAGTTTGCTGCGCCTGCTTCCCTGAAGGGCCACGTTGGGGGGGGGGGGGGGCAGGCTCAGGTGGGGGGAATGCTTCGACCCTCAATCGCCCATTGTCGAGGAACGTGTGGATTCGCTATCAGGGACTTATCGCAGACGTATCGGCGATGTATCGCTGATTCTAGGTCGATGTTTTCCCTCTGAGCCAGGCCCCCCCATGACATTGGTCGGGGGTGGACAGAACCCCCAACAGTGACACGTCGATTAGTGACTTGTCCGTTTTCGGTTTTCGTGAGGGCGCCGTGGTCGTTATTTTGCAGGCTTGCGCCCGCCAGGTTTGGGCCCGAAGTCGTTTTCACTAAACCACGTTTTACTAAAGGGAGGTCTGTCCATCCCCGAATTGGTCCTTATCCCCCAGCCTTCCTGGGCGCATCAATGACACGCAGCTGTTAGCTGTGGGCCCTGGCGACTGTGCGTTCGCGGTCCCGTATGTAGCGGGTAGCGCTGCCCCAATTCTCTGCACAGAGGGCCATTGCTGCCCCTGCCTCCTTCCTAACACTCGCGGGTCCCAGCAACGCTGGTTATGACGTCAGGCCCTAGGCGGTGTCCCCAGATGTCTGTGCGAAATGAATGCCAGGTGCCACTGCCCCTTTCTCGCAAACCAGCTCTCGATACGCTGGTCGCAGCGTAGCTGCTGTCGTCAGGCTCAGGCTTGACCTCGCAACAGCTCGTCCGCCCCAGCACGCTTTACATACCCTGGTCGCAGCGAAGCTGCGGTCGTCGGGCTCGTGCTGGCCTTCACCACAGCCCGTTCTCTCATTCTTGCGGCGGTGCCTCTGGCGCCGTCCATAAGCCCACTGCCACTGGTCGCCTTCTCCCGAACGCCTGAGTAAACTCTCCGGTGTAGCCACGGCGTACGGGCACCTCCTTCTCGCCCGGAGCACGCTTGTCCGCCGCCTGGACGTCCCTGGGGCAGCTTTTGAAGTGAGCGGGGGGGGGCAATGTGCTGCGCCGCCAGACCACTCTCTGTCCCCCCACCCCTGGGTCAGCACAGGACCCTCACCTCCTCCGCTCGTCTGCTCTGCTGGACAGGACCAGCGTAGCCCATTTATTGTTGTTTGTTTTTCCTGCTTTATCTTTCTCTTTCTCTCTCTCTCTCTCTCTTTCTCTGACTCTGTCTTGCGAGAATCAAACTTGCCGAGCTGCGCACCAGCAGAGCTCTGGTTCTACCTCCTTGAGGCCGTTCCCACGCTTGCCGAAGGGAGCCCGTGCCGAATGGCATGGCTAGGTGGAGTGAATGATGATGATGATGATGATGATGATGATGATGATGATGATGATGATGATGATGATGATGATGATGATGATGATGATGATCATGATGATGATGATGATGATGATGATG